GCAAATTTAAGTCGCTGAAGCTTTTCTAAAAGAGAACACAGTGACAGAAAAAAAAACAATCACAAATTCAAATTGATCAGATAACTCATTGAATCACATTTGATGATAATGAAATGAAACTTAAAATTCACAGAAAACAAATCTTCCAAAGATATGCTAATTTGTAGAGATTAAGCAACTCATTCCTAAATGACAGATGGGTCTGAGAAAAAAACAATTTTCTGAAATTATATGAAACTGCAAACACAGAATAACAAAACCTATGGGATGCATTAAATACAGTCAGAATTCCAAGTACCTTCATTAAAAAATCAGACCTCTAGTATATGATCTAATCATACAATGTAAAAAGAATGATAAAAAACAATAGCAAATTAAGCCAATGGCAAAAATTTAAAAAATAAATAAATAAATCAGAGCACAAACCAGAGAAATGTAAACAAAGTAAACAATACTAAAAAGCAGTGAATCTAGTAACTATTTCTTTGAATACAAAAATCCATCAATGTAATCCACCATATAAACAAACTGAAAAAGAAAATCACATGATCATCTTACTAGATGCTGAAAAGCCTGTGACAAACTCCAACACCCCTTCATGATAAAGGTCTTGGAGAGATCAGGAATAACAGGAACATACCAAACATAAAAGCAATATACAGGAAACCCACAGTCAACATCAAACTAAAAGGAGAGAAACTCAATGTGATTCCTCTAAAACCAGGTACAAAACAAAGCTGTCCACTCTCTCCATAACTCTTCAATATTGTACTTGAAGTTCTAGCTAGAGCAATAACGCAACAAAAGTAGATCAAGTGGATACAAATTGAAAAGGAAGATGTCAAACTTTCACTATTTGCAGATGATATGATAGTTTATATCACTGACCCAAAAAATTCTACCAGGGAACTCCTACAGCTGATAAACAACTTCAGCAAAGTGGCAGGATACAAGATTAACTCAAAAAAAAAAAAAGGAAATCAGTAGCCCCACTATATGTAGATGATAAGTGGGCTGAGAAAGAAATAGAGACACCTCACAATTTACAATAGCCACAAACAACATAAAATATCTTGGGGTAAAACTAACCAAACATGTGAAAGACCTGTATAACAAGAATTTTGAGGCTTTAAAGAAAGAAACTAAATAAGATACCAGAAAATGGAAAGAGCTCCCATGCTCTTGGATAGGTAGGTTCAACATAGTAAAAATGGCAATCTTGCCAAAAGCAATCTACAGATTCAATGCAATCTCCATCAAATTCCCAGCACAGTTCTTCACACGTTGAAAGAACAATTCTAAACTATATGGAAAAACATAAGACCCAGTATAACGAAAACAACCATGTACGGTAAAATAATTCCAGAGACATCATCATCCCCAACTTCAAGCTCTATTATACATCTATACTCCTGGAAACAGCTAGAAATTAGTAGGAAACTAGAGAGGTAGAACAATGGAATTAAATTTAATTGAAGAACCTGATATTAACCCACACACATACGAACACCTGTTTTTTTAAAAAAAGAAGCAAAAATTATCCAATTGAAAGAAGGAAGCATCTTCAACAAAAGGAGCCATCATAACTGGATGCTGACATGCTGAAGACTGAAGATCAATCCATAACTATCGCCACACACAAAACTTAAATCCAAATGATCAAAGACCTCAGCATAAATCTAGCCACAATGAACCTCTAGAAGAGAACATGGTACTATCCTTGAACGAATTGGTACAGGACACCGTTTCCTGATCATAACACCAATAAGAACAACAATAAATGGGACCTCCTGAAACTGAGGAGTTTCTGTAAAGCAAAGGACACAGTCAAAAAGACAAAACAGAAGCCTACAGAATGGGAAAAGTTATTCACCAACCCCACATCTAACAGGGGGCTGATATCCAAAATTTACAAACAACCCAAGAAGCTAGACTCCAAAACACCAAATAATCCAATTAAAAAAGTGGGGTACAGTACTCAATAGAGAATTCTCAATAGAGCAATCTAAAATGGCTGAAAGACACTTAAAAATGTGCTCAACATCCTTAGCCATCAGGGAAATAAAACTCAACACAACTCTGAGATACCATCTTGCTCTTCTCACAATGGCTAAACTCCAAAACATCAATGACAGTTTATGCTGGAGAGGATGTGGAGAAAGGGGAACACTCCTCCACTGCTGGTGGGAGTGCCAACTCATACAGCCACTTTGGAAATCAGTATGGTGGTTCCTCAGGAAAATGGGAATGAGTCTACCACAAGATCCAGCATTTCCACTCTTAGGCATACACCCAAAAGATGCACACTCATACAACAAGGACATCTGTTCAACTATGTTCATAGCAGCATTATTTGTCAAAGCCAGAACCTGGAAGCAACCTAGATGTCCCTCAACTAAAGAATGGATAAAGAAAATGTGGTACATTTACACAATGCAGTACTACTCAGCAAGAAAACCAAATAGAATCTTGAAATTGACAGGCAAGTGGATGAAACTAGAAGAAACCTTCCTGAGTGAGGTAACCCAGTCACAAAAAGACAAACATGAGCTTTTACCCAGTAGTTGATGGAAGCAGAAGCAGACACCCACAGGTAAACACTGAACTGAACTCCTGGAATCCAGTTTAAGAGAAGGAGGACTAATGAACAAAGCAGTCCACACCAGGCTGGTGAAACCTACAGAAACAGCTGACCTGAGCAAAGGAGAGCTCTTGGTCCCCAGACTGATACCCGAGAAATCAGCATGGGACAGATCCAGACCCCCTGAATGTGGGTGTCAGTGAGGAGACCTTGGAAATCTATGAGACCTCTTGTAGTAGATCAGTACTTATCCCTAGCATAGGAATGGACTTTGGGAGCCCATTCCACATGGAGGGATACTCCCTGAACCTAGACACATGGGTGTTGGCCTAGGCCCTATCCCAAAGAATAAGACAGACTCTGAAGACCCCCCCCATGGAAGGCCTCACCCTCCCTTGGGAGCAATAAAGTTATGGGATAGGTAGGGTGTTAGTTGGGAGGAGGCTGGGGAGGAGGGGAGGGTAAGGGACCTGGGATTGACATGTAAAATAATTTTCTTTTTAATTAAAATGAAAAAAGAAAAAAAATGACAATTGCTCACTCTTTGTTAAAATAGTTAAAAGAAAGCGGCATACAACTCGTAAGAAGCTTATTGGTTCATTTCGGGTTTTCTTTTCTTTTTTTATAACTTGTTTTAATAGGAGAAAAAATTACCATGAAAAAAGAATTGCAGTTTTCAAACATCCCCTGGAGAAACAATAGCTAACTATCAAAATTTCAGTTGAGAAACAGAGCATAATGTTCAAGTTTAACGTAAAATGATAACTTTCAATGCTGAAACTTCACCTAATTAGAAAAAAAATATAGCTCACTATTCAAGTTGTACCTGGAATGCAACATAATCAGATTTTATAGAATAATACTAGTCCACTTGGAACTACACATACAATAGTCTATAATGTCCTGGATGTAGAAATGCTACTACCTGTGTCATAAACCGTCCACCAGAAACTCTAGACAGCTACATTAATTTTAGGATCCTAAAATTTCAAGACTAAGTTTAAAAAGTCCTAGCATATTTGTACTTTGTTATTTTAAGGCAAATTAGCATAATTTTTAATGGAATTGGTGTCTGGGGTCCAGCAACTAGTAGATTATCTGTGTACATTTTCATTGGGCATCTCAGACTCAAAACACGTTCCCTATTACACTTCCATTTATTATTTATAGAGAGGGATCCCACAAATCCCATTTGGTGTAACCAGACCATACTAGTAGAATCTGCATATAGAGCAGCCTGATTTGGACTTGAAAAGCAGGCAATTGTCACACCCAGGTGGCATTTGGAGATTGCAGTCTGGAATTAATTAGTACATTGACTGGGATGTTCTCTAAGCATCTGCACTGTGAGCCCCAGAGATACAGTACTGCTCTGAAACAACCTATCTGAGATTTGGTTGCAGGGCTTTGAATCCTCTAGAAAATTCCAGAGGATCAATCACCAATGTGGCTATACCCTTGCCTAAGGGACTTCCCAGGTTATTATGTTTTAGATGGATAAGACAGACTCCAGAGCCATAGTTGACTATCCCCTCATTCTTTGCTTTTATCTGTCCTCCTAGTGGACAGAGTACTCAATCTAGTTAGTCATTCCTGGATATCTCAGGCATGTGCTACTCTATTCATAGTAGCCAGCAATTAGATACAGCCGAGACATGCAACACTGCAGAATGAGTAATGATAAAATTGACATTTTATCACGTATGACTCTTATTTGCAAAATGATTTTTTCAGGGTCATTGTATTTTAAGATAGAACTCAATTGTGTTTGTAGCCATGGCTGCAATGCAGCTCTGTAATACCAGCACCATGTCTGCTTGCAGAGCTCCAACAGAAGTGGGGTAAGCAAGTAGGTCCTCATTCCAGAGCTCATGCAAAGCAGACTGCCCACAAATCCACAGGTAGTAACGCCCCCAGGAAACAACTGGCTAAAAAAGCTGCTCACAAGAGTGTGCCCTCTACTGGAAGGGTGAAAAAAAACTCATTGTTACAGGCTTGGTACTCTGGCATTCGGTGAAATCAGATGCTGTAAGAAATCCACTGAACTTATGATACACAAGTTCCCCTTACAGTGTCTGGTGCAAGAAATTGCTCAGGACTTCAAAACAGATCTGTGCTTCTAGACTGCAGATGTGATGATATATTGCTTATGATCTATTAAAGCCACTTGGATCAAAAGAGCAAAGCAGCCATACTAGTTAGCCATAGAAGCCAAGCACACTGCTTTAATCCCAGGACTGGGGATTAAGAGGTAGACAGATCTCAGTTAGTTCAAAGCCACACTTACTACAAGAAATTGATCCAGTCTTGAAAGAAACAGCTCACCCAAAGGTGATCTCAGCACCTGGGATCACATCCTTCAACCCCAGCACTGGGGAGGTAGAGACAATAAGATATGGCTTGGCTGAGAAAGGACTAAATGGAGGAGGAGACAGGAATTCAGAGCCTTTTGCCTCTGAGGATTTATGAAGACAGCTATTTCAGTTGGGGAGAGGTGCGATCTACTGACATGGCTGCTTTGCTTCTCTGGTCTTCAGCTTGAAGCTTGAACCTCAATATCTGGTTCTGGGTCTGTCATTTATTGTGCTACATGCAGCTCTTGGCGCTTTCCAGGGGGCAAGAGCGGCCTATCTTCTTGGTCGTTTTGAAGATACCAACCTGTGTGCTATTCATTCCAAATGTACAACAATTATGTCAGAAGATATTGAGCTAGCATGCCACTTCACAGAGAATGTGCCTGAGAAGAGAAACATTTCATTCTCAAAATTATTTATTCCTCTTCTCCCTGTTAACAGTTATTCTAAACATTAGATTTTTTTTTCATGGGGTCAAAAAGGTCCCTAAGTATATGATTGGGAGTGAAAAAACAGGGGACAGAGATCAGGTATTAGCAGGTTTTCCATTTTCATTTGTGTGTGAATTCTTAATATAAATGCACTGTAAAGCATTAATGCAAGCAAAATGTTTCAGTGAAGATATTTTAATAGTTCAGTTTCATAACCATTATAAATAACCCTGTTAAAATGTTACATATATATCACAGTTCATTTAAATGGAGTAAAATTTGCACACAGACAAGGGTAAGTTACAAATAGCACAATATCTTCTATTCAGGGACCCACCAGACTTAAGAAGCATCCTGAAGTTAATCATTACTTAGCAACACAAAAGGAAATGTGGATTTGAGGACATCATGTTATTGAGTTTCTGGACCCCAAATCAGCCATGTAATAAATTAATGTCATAATTGTTAGATTTTTGCTAGAGATATGATATGACAGACATGTAGGAGCTAACAGAAATGATGAGGAAAGGCCTATAGCTTAATCCAGTCAGAACCCCAATAGGAAGAAGTGGGCACAAAATCCCATCCCTGATAAACATAACCAAAATATATTATATTAAAAAATACACACACAAAAAAATTTAAAGACAGAAAGAAACATTTCAAGCCATGTACTTACTTATTTGCAAATGAAAATTGCTGGGAGACAAAAAAAATGTTCTTCAATGTTGCAGACCAACTGTATTAGCCAAATGTTCCTGGGCCATATGTTGTGGATGGTATTTGTGGGGCTGCAGTCCCAACCAGCCTGGCATCCCCAGGTCCGTTCCTGAGTGGGGGAGTGTGGATGAGGGAAGGCTAGCTATAGACAGTAACGGAAAGACAGAAACATAGGATAGTGTCAGGAGGGTGGTTTCAGTCCATACTGAATTCACCTCTGTTCATTCATATATCCTCCTAAGTAACCAACCAAAGGTGGGGACAAAGGCAGAAGACTTCTATTGTCATGTATAAAAGACAAATAGCAATTACTTCTTTAATCCTAAAGATACTCCATAGCTGCACATACTACTTGGCCTTCTGGAGCTTCATAGATTCCTGCACATATCAAGTAACCTTCAGGATGAGTATAAACTTGCCTGGCCCCAAGTCAATTGTTGTTTAGATAGGAGCCATTCACCACTGAGGCCAGGGCATCCTGTAGCCATTCAGCTAATATATTAAAGACAATAGGAGTGATTTGAGCTCTCTGACTTCCTGGCAAGATGGAATCAATGGAGTGAACCTGAGTAAATCAACCACATTCACTGACTCACTCCCTCCATGGCAGACACAATGATCACATCTACTATGGAAAGCAAAGAAGATGCAAGCAAGGTTTTTAGTGTCATTTCTTTTGTGTTTCACTTTTGTTGTTTTGTTTGAAAAGAGACAAAGAACATGAACTTAGGTGGGTGGGAAGAGGGGATGAATCTGGGAGTAGTTGCAGAACAGAAAAGAATGTAATGGAATATAAATTATAAAATCTCAAAGAAAACAATGATAAAAAGGATGGAACAATCAATGAAATGCTCAGGTAGGTCACCAAGTGCCCAAATATTAGCAATCTTAATCAGCAAATAAACATGTTCCCACCATTTACTCTTGTCAACCTGTGAAATGCATAGCTCTCAGATTGATGTTTTATCAATTACCTGTTAGTTCACTACAAATGAAATTTACCCTACACTGTTCCTCACCCCTCCTAAATGCATTTCTTGCATTAGTTGAATAACTGTTGTATGACATAGACAACAAATCTACATGTGCAATTGTTCTATGTCTCTGTGACAGTTATTGACCACAGGAAGATGCAACTATGGCAGACACTCATTTCCTTCAGAGTATTTTTTAAAGGAGTAGAATTATTGTCTAGAATTTGAAGTGCTTGGAGTATCCCTTATTAAGAGTCAATACAGAGAAAATAAACAGGAACAATGATTACAATATAAACAAAAATAAAGAGTACAGCCGATCTTACAGTGTGTGGGGAGACCTGTAAGTTAGGAAAGAGGATTTATTCACACTGGTGATACTGGGTCATAACATATCGTTAGACCCCGGAAAACTCAGGTATCCGGGGGCCCAGGCCATGACCGTGGTCACCCCAATCACCAGGCAGATTCGAGAGCTTGCTGCAAACTGCATGAGGCTTTATTGTAATTTAACGAGCTAACCCCATGTTAGCTCCGGTCTTTGTCCACTCACCATGGCGGATGGCTACAAAAGACAGTTTGAACCAGCTGCCGAGAGATCTTGTAGGGCAGCCTAAGGGAAGTGTCTAGGGCCATGCACAGGCTCACGATTGGTGTGCCTCCAGGCTTGGAGGGCTTGCCCTGTGTTGATTGATCAATTGGTTTTTATGGCCCATAGGCCCTCCCAGGGTGGTTGCTATGCTCCGTGCATCATTGCTATACACTGCTCAGTAAAGCACACCCAGTGCCGTAAAGCATAGCACCACCAGCTAACTTCTGATTGGTTCCTTGCCACGAGGCAGGGATCTGACTTTCTAGTGACTAGACAAGGTCAAACAAGCATGTGTTCAGCTGTTATGGCTGCTGAAATGGGAGCCGGTCCCTTCAATATGACAATAAGGAAGTGAGATTTATTAATATGGTAAAGAAAATCCAAATAACCTTGGCTGAAGTGGAAGAGGGACAGTTAGAAAGCCAGGTTCTGTTAAATGAGAGGTGCCTGTTGCTAGGCTCCTGAATCTAGAACTTACTTCATAAGAGACAAAGAATTTGTATTCTCTGGTAAATTCTCAAATAAAATTCTTTGTTCCTAAGATGGGTTTTTTAAGTGTTTTGTGAGAAAGATCATACCCAGAAAGGAACACAGGCATCACTCCACCTGATGGTAAGTCTTCTGAAGATTGAGTAAAGGACAGGAGCATAAATAATTAGGAGGTGAATGCTATATCCCCCAAATCCTGGACAGTTGTTCATAGTTGGGAATGGCATTTCCTTTAAATATTTCTACTCTCTTCTATGTTATTTTGGAAATTCTAGCATATTTACTATGATTCAATACATCCTAAATTATAGAGAGAATGGTTAGTAAATTGACTAACTATTGATGGTTTGAATTTCAGGAAAGAAAAGAGTTAAGGTAAAAAATGGTATCTGAGAATTAACATGAAATCTAGATGGTTATAGCTGTACCATATTTTGGATGAAAAACTATATCTTTTCTCTAGAATACATTGTATACAGTAATTTAATTAATGCCTGACTCGGCTTGCTCAATTATTATTAAGAGTTTTTGTTTTAACTTTCTATCTGTTACTGTAGTTTTAGTCATAAATTCTGGCATGGTTTTGTTTATTCAGTTTCAACATGCTGCATTATTAATACATAACTATTTTCTTTATACCAGGAATCAATGTGCTATCATAAGTACTTCAAATCTAAATCAAAGTGCTCACTCATGGATGGTGACCAGTATGTCAAAGTTTTAATGACAGTTTCATTATATTGTCCTCAAATATCTTTACTGATCCTTTTTCTTATGCAGGCTCTTGGCACTATATATGGTAGTGCATCACTCTACTTAAATGCTTTTCCAAAATAATAATACACTAAAGACGATGGTGCTGGACAGGGGAGACAGACAATTTGGTATAACGAATGTTGCACAAGCACAGAGACAAGAGACTGATCCTGGTTATCTATATAAAAACCTGAGTGGTGGCCAATGTTTGCAATGCCAGTCACGATGAGACAGACACAAGCACACTGAAAAGGCTTGATGGCCAGTTGTTTTTTCCTTTTTTGTGACAACCATGTCAGTGACCAACTCTGTATCAAGCACCAAGCTGAATGTTCACTTAGATAAATAATCCAAGGCTAATGATTGGCTTATGCAAACACAAACATACACAAACACACACACACATAGCCACACACATATACATGTATATTTATAACCACGGAAACAAATAATAAGGAAATAAGTAAATAAAACTCTAAGCTGTAAGAAGTAGATACATAAACAAGGCATATAGCTTCAGAGGACTCACTATCCAGTATAAATTGTGGCCTCCAGACATATATTAATATGTATACAAGTGTCAAGGTCACTAGTGTACATACTCACATGAAATATTCATAATAACAAAAAAGAAAATGGAAAATACACATAAGAATGATACAGAGCTCAAGACAAGATTCTGCTCCACATGTCAATAACAGGTCAAGGACAGAAAGGAGCATAAACTTGTATTCCATAACCAGGAATGTATTTGGAAGGGGTTACAATTTGAGAACACACACACAGACACACAAAGACACACACAGACACACACACACACACACACACACACACACACACACACACACACATACACACACACACATACACACATGCAAGAACAGTTTTAATTTTCAACTAAGGAAATCTTCAGTTGCTGTTGAATGTCAAACATTAGGATATTCAGAAACAATGTGAAAAGGGGCACATTACTGAAAGTTGTAAGTGTACTGGAAATATATTTGTACAGGAACAAGAATACTTTCCACACTGTTTGATTTTCACCCATTCTCTGCTGTTTTCCTCTTGAACCCGACTTGACCATGACTTACCTACACCTATGTGTGACTTTCTTACCTCTGTTTCTTTTAGTCTTGCTGCTCTGTTGGGTCAACTCTGCCAGATGTCACATTATTAAAGGCCAGTGCTGCATGAAACCTGACAAACTGAGGTCTAGGAGAGCAAGCCCTCTCATGTTCCCCCTTTTTTCTCTAACAGGACATAGTGACTGTGGGTGAGGTCCTGGTCCATGAGAGGATCATGGTCTTTCAGCTCTGCCTGTGGATGGTGCTCTTCCTCTCCCCATGGTCCCTAACTGAACACACTAAATACAGTAGCCCTCCAGAAGTAGTGATACCCTTGAGGGTCACTGACACTAGGAGACATGATAGTTCTCCAGGCTGGTTGTCCTATAGCCTGCGCTTTGGAGGAGAGAGACATATTATCACCATGAAACCCACAAAATACTTCATATCCAGAAACTTCCTACTGCTCACCTACACTGACAAAGATGATCTCCTTGCAGAACAGCCTTTTGTGCAGAGTGACTGCTACTACCATGGAGATGTGGATGGAGACCCAGAATCCATGGTTTCCCTTACAACCTGCTTGGGGAGTTTGCAAGGCATACTAGAGATAAATGGCGCAGTTTATGAAATCATGCCCAAGAGCTCAACTTCCACATTTGAACATCTGCTTTACCAAATGAAGAGTGAGGAGACAGAATCACGGCCCATGAGATGTGGGTTAACAGAAGAGGAAATAGCACAACAAATGAAGCTTCAAGATAATCATAATGACACTCTTATGCAAAGCCACTATGAGGGATGGTGGACCCACCACAAGTATATTGAATATTTTGTGGTATTAGATAATAAACGATTTGTTTATACGGGCAGTAATGTCACACGTTCCAGCAATGAAGTGTTAGCAGTTTTCAATGGAATGAAGGGCTATTATGTTTCAATAGAAATTGATTTGATTTTTGCTGGACTTGAAATCTGGACTGAACAAAACTATGTAAAAGTAGAAGGAAATGTAATTTCTGTTCTAGTTTCTTTTTGCCAGTGGAAAGAAAGAACCAATAAGGCTCGAAATCAATATGATATCATACATCTTTGGGCCAAGGAAGGATATGGTACAAATTTAGGGATATCTTATATAGGTTCAGTTTGTATATCAGACAGTAATTGTGCAATTAACAGTTTCCTGTGGGACACACTAGGCCCTGTATCATTCAGTATAGCACATGAGTTGGGTCATAATTTGGGTATGCCTCATGATCAAAAGAATTGTGTGTGTGGACAAGAAAAATGCATAATGTTCAAAGAGATGACTATGTCTACTGCATTCAGCAACTGTAGTTATGCTGCAATGTGGGATCGTATTTCCCAAAGGACCTGTTTACGCAACATTGCAAATGACGCTCTCACACCACCGGCCTCATGTGGGAATACTTTGGTTGAAGAAGGAGAGCAGTGTGACTGTGGATCCCTTGAATCCTGTAAAGACGATCCATGCTGTAGTCAACATTGTGTTGTAAAACCTGGTGCTGAATGTGCTACCGGGCCATGTTGTAAAAACTGCAAGTTCATGAAACCAGGTACCTTGTGTAGAGGCATGAACGATGAGTGTGACCTTCCTGAGTGGTGCAATGGAACTTCAGCTGAGTGTCCAGAAGATGTCTTCAGGGAAGATGCAAGCCCTTGTAATGGTGGGTTTTGCTACAAAAAGGCATGTAATACCCATAACAAGCACTGTCAGAAGATTTTTGGCATGGGAGCCAGGAGTACAAATGAGACCTGCTACATGGATATGAACAAACGGGGTGATCGTTTTGGTAACTGTGGCAACAATAGTTATAACTACAAAAAATGCAGTGACTCTGATATACTCTGTGGAAGAATTCAGTGTGAGGACGTGACAGAGCTTCCACGTTTGCAAAACCATGTAACAGTATATTGGACTCACTTGAATACTGCCATCTGCTGGACTACAGAATACCACTTTGGTATAAACACAGCTGACATTGGAGCAGTGAGAGATGGCACACCTTGTGGCCCAAAGCATATATGCATTAACAGGAGGTGTGTCGATATGCCCATACTCTTAAGTAACTGCTCAGAAATTCTATGCAATATGCAAGGTGTCTGCAACAATAAGCATCACTGCCATTGCAATGATGAATGGAAACCACCAGACTGTGTACTCAGTGGCTTTGGGGGTAGTATAGACAGTGGCCCACCTCCTGTCAGATTATCTAAGAAACAGTTAATAAGATACATTCTGGGTGTTTCAGTTCTTTTTCCAATTTTGATATGCTGTTTTATTTGCATAAATAGAAGGATAAAAAAAAGGATAGCAGGAGAGGAAACCAGAAGCACCACTGAAACCAGAAGCACCACTGAAACCAGAAGCACCACCGAAACCACCAAACCGAAACCAAAGTCCTTGGAAAAACAAAAGCCCACTCTTAAAGTTTCCCCCGAAAAAGGAGATGCTAATGAGAAACATAAAGCACAAAAGAAATAATAAAGGAAACTCTCCTATAAGAGCTCCTTCATGTAATAGTATGTAGCTTCCAGAACACAGAAATATCACTGTATGTTTTTTTTTTTCTTAAATCCAAGGCCAGAAGTTCTGGAGATTTACCTTTTTGAATATCAAAAGCATTGACTACCAAATAAAAGGAGGTCCTACCATATTTATACTTTTCTTTAACTTGAGCAATTTCTTGCCTTTTAAAAAATGGAATTGATGTCTGTCATCCACTAGCTTAGGGCCAAACCATGGGCCTCTACATGTGTTTCATTGTATTTGGTTTCTCTCAGCTCTAAACCCCTCCCCCTTTTCATTCTGCTTTGTCACATAAAGAGAAGGAGTCTCCAAATCCCATTTCCTCACAGCAATTCCTATCCACAAGGATCTGCTGCTAGGAGAGTCATAGTGACATTGGACAATAAGGAGATGTTTTGAGGTTCCTGCCACAGATACTGTAGCCTCTGCTTTCACCTGCATGCTGTCAGTAACTCTCACTCTGCAGGTGATTACCATACAGTTTTCAGGGCTCCCAAACACAATTTCTAGTTAAAGTCACTATAACTGTGATGAAACGCCATGATCAAGGCAACTGGGCAAGGAAGGGGTTTATTTGATTTGCACTCCTACATCACACTTCAACATTACAGGAAGTCAGGATAGGAACATGGACTGATGCAGATGCCATGGATGGGGTGTTGCTTACTGGCTTACTCAACCTGGCTTGTTTACCCTGATTTTTTATAGAACCAAGGATCAGCACCCCTGGGATAGCACTACCAACAGTAGCTGTAGCCCTTCCCAATCAATCGCTAAATGAGAAAATGTTCTACAGATTTGCCTACAATCAGATCCAATGAGAACTTTTTCTCAATCAATGTTTCCACCATTCAAATGACAATACCTTGTATCAGGTTACATTAAGTTTAGCCAGAACAACACCATTGTCAGTTCTAGAGATTCAAACCAGCCATGAAACATCACACCCAGAATTCTGGTCTTGGGTTTTTAAGTCCCCCACTGATTCCACAAACTCCAGCACCAAATCTGTCCTTGTAGATTAGTCTCCCACAGCAACGGAACAGCCTTCAAGGTCTTGAACAACTAACCACACCTTCTTCCCTTTGAAATCTAGTCCCAGTATAGAGAGATACACATTCCTGTTACACATTCTAGTGGGGTATTGGAGGTGTTCCAGAATGGACCAGTAGTTGATTTTACATAGGTAGGTCATTGGAGAAGAGTAGAGTTAATATAGTGCAGGATGGTTGATCGATTAGTCTAGGGGATAGAAGATAAGATGTAGGGCAATTCAGAGGCCTAGAGGCAAGCTGCTGCATGGTAAGAGCTAGCAAGACTGGGCTTGGCACTGTTGTTGAATCAGGAATACATATATATGGTTACATAAAAACATGGGTAATTAGGTTTGGAGTCCTCGGCAGGCTATGCCCTAGGTATTGAGAGTTGTGGTGCAAACCGAAGAGAAGGGACCTATGGGTGAATGCACTTAGGATGTTATATGGGGAAGGCAAGAGCTTGTGCAGCATAGGGTGGGTAGTTAGATTAGGCTGGGGTTCAGGCACTATTTTGAGTGGCTGAACATCAATGCAGCCACACAGCTTTGACCTGTATTTTGTCCTGCCTTCAAGATGTGCTGAGGTAATGGTCTCACCGAACTTGTGCGAGTGGCCAACTTGAGGGCCACACCATGGAAGGAAGTTCACTCCTGATACTGCCTGGATGGCCACTACCAGACAATGGACAGCCAGAGACCTAGGATAGAACGAAACACAAAGAGAAAGAATGTCAATGAAATGATCCCTAATGATATTTCTGCTATATTCTCAGACTGGAGTCTAGCCCAACTGTTATCAGAGAGGCTTATTCTAGTAGGAGCAGATGAGACCTACAGCCAAAGATTAGGTGGAACTTAGAGAATGCCACAGAAGAGGGGGAGAAAAGATTTTAGAAGCCATATAATTCAAGGACATCGGAGAACATGGCCCACAGAATCAACTAAATAGAATTCACAGGGCCTCACAGAGACTGAAGCAATAATCACAGAGCCTGAAGGATCTGAGCAAGGTCCTCTGCATATATGTAATTGTTGTGCAGCTTGGTGCTCTATTTTGACTCCTAACAGTGGTGGTAGAGACTGTCTCTGACTCTTTTGCCTGTTATTATGACCCTTTTACTTCTACTGGGTTGCCTTGTCCAGCCCCGATATGAGGATGTGAAGCTCCTCTTATTGTAACTAGTTATGCCATATTCAGTTGATATCCCTGCTCTTTTCTGAAGGGACACAGAAGAGTGGATACGTGGGAGAGGCCATGTGTGTGTGTGGAGGGGTGCCTTCATTTTATCAGAAAGTACTCTTAAATTATTAATTGATGATTTCAAACAATATAAATTGTATGTTAATCACATCCACCCTAGCCTTGCTAAACCCACTCCCCCTTGGCCATTCCTAAATACTATTCTCCAATTCTCTTGCTGTTTTCACTTGTTTAATGTAGCAGTAGTAATTGTAGTAATATTCTCCTCTAGAGAACAAAACTGATAGAATAAATATATGTATATATATATATATATATATATGCTTACAAATTGTATCTACATATTTAAACACATGGAATTTATATTGTATATGTTGCTTACAGACTGTGGTCCAGCTAGTCTAGTAAGGGAAATTGTGAAATCTACCTGTAGTTCAGTTCACAAAGCTGGGTGTCTCAGCTGATCTTCAGTATACACTGAAATCCCAAAGAACTAGGCTCTAATATTAGTGAAGAAATAGACTTGCCAGCAACAATGAGGGCAAGAAAGCAAAGAGCAAAAGCTTCCTTCTTCCAGGTCCTTTACATGGACTGCCACCAGAAGGAGAAGCCCATAGTAAAGTGGATCCTCCCACCTCCAAAGATCTTGAGTACAGATAGATCTTCCCATTTCAAATGATTTGATGAAGACAAATTGCTGTACCCAGCTGTTTGGGCTTTAGTTATTACAGATGCAGTCAAGTTTACAACCAGGAATAGCCATCACAAGGACACCCCTTATCAACTGGCATACAATCTTATCTCCTTAGGTCATGTTTAATTTCAAATGAAAATAATAACCTAGCCATAATTATGGCTAACATGAAATAATTATCCCATGTACAATGGTGAATGCGTTATATACTTAACTAGGTCATAATTTATGCTTAATATGGTGTAATGATACCACAAGCTGCAAGTACATAAATTTTAAAAATAAGTGGCAATATCACTTAAATCACATTCATAGTACCTAAAAACTTAAGTATTATGACCACTGACATTCTCTTATTTGTGTTTCATTGGGCTTACAGGAATATGGATTAGAGTTATCCTTCAGAAACAGGAAGTAGCTTTAAAAAAAAAAAAGGAATCGGCAAAAGCCAAGCCCAGCTTAGGTGACAGTTCATGAAACCTTGAACTCTGGAACACACCGTACAACTGGCAGATTCTCAACATGTTGGAGAATGTCCTTTCCGGGTCCCACAGTTGGTCTGTGCTACTTCTAGGCAGTTGAGTCAGTCCCAGTTCCTTCCAGGAAGTTTAGCTTGTCACCAGACCATCTGGGCAAAGCAGCTGCTCTGAGAGTATCTCTTTCTTAGCAGTCCTTATGGCTTACATATGATCACAAAGGAGGATCTTTGTGAATTTGTTCAGTTTATGGGAATTCCTGAGGCCATTGAATCTTTTACTTCCTGAGCTTAACAAACTGCACTGAGGAATGGAATGTTTTATTTCCCATAGAAAAATGTCTATGGATTGACCTCCTTTTCAACATAGTGTGCCTGAGCAAGACTCCCTGTTAGATATCCTATTGGATCACATTTGTTTCAACAATATTTTATTTAAAATAGTCATTGAATGTTCTTCATGGTATATAATTTGGGGAGTCTGCTGTGCATTTGTCTGGCTTACACTAGTTAATACTGACTTTATAGGAATAATTTGGAATCATTCTACCCATTTCATTTTATGAAATATTTTGAAAGCATGGATATTAATTCTTATAGGGATTTGAGGAAGAAATATTCCCCCAAGGGATTTGACATCTGAACACTTCTCATTTGATGGTTGTGCTTGGGGAGGGTTAACAACTGGGACCACGTTGGAGAAAATACATTGAAGGAGGCAGGTGTTGGGAGTTTAAAGACACCTGCTGTTTCCAGTCAATCTCCATCCTTCAGCTTAGTGGTTCAATGAGCTCTCATGTTTACCATGCTGTTGCCATGCTTGCCTTTTTTTATAATGCTGTCCACACCATTATGGACTCTAATCCTCTAGAAATCAGAGCCAAAATATACCCTCCCTTCTAAGTTGCCTTGTTCAGTTCATTTTATCACAACCACAGAAGAATGACTTATGCAGTTCTTACTGAAATGTTTGGTAGAATTCTTCAGGGAATTTACCTTGACTTCAGTTGTTTTTTTTTTTGTTTTGTTTTGTTTTGTTTTGTATTCTCTCTCTCTCAGCCTCTCTCTCTCTCTCTCTCTCTCTCTCTCTCTCTCTCTCTCTTTCTCTCTCTGAGTGTTTTCACTTTATTATATGAAAATTTCACACTTGTATATAATGTAATTTGATCAGGTTTATGCGCCCCCCCCCCACCGACTTCTTCTAAATCTAACAATTCTCTCACAGTGCCATGTACTTTTTTTGAAAGTACTGAGTCATTTTGGTGCCATCAGTACATGCATGGAAGTACAACAATCCACTGGAGTATAAAGAACCTTTATTCAAAGGTGCCTTTATTTATGAAGGTGCCTTGCCTTTGAATAAAATGTATTTCTCCCTCTTCAGTAATCATCAAGGGTCAACAGTTAATCTGCTATAGGTAGAGTTTTATGCACTCTGCCATTGAATTTCATGCACACAGCCATTTATGCAGTAATTGCATCTGGCTTGACATCGAACAGGTCTTCATGTACAGGTACATCCACTATGCATCATCCCTTTCTGTCCAGA